ATTATTAGATGCACTTTTTAAAATTAGGTGCATGTGAAAAGTATTCTGTGAGGTCACATTTGAAGAGTTGCACAAATTATTTCTGATAATGAAATATGACTTCTCATGGAGAAGCATGTTTGTTGTAAGCCGGACTAACTGGTGTTTCATGGAACCCTATGTTTACTTGAGAGAAGAACTGAGAAACAAACTATAATCACTCAGCCCTGGATATTCAGCTGATGATTTTTCAAAGAGGAATGAAGCAAGATTGTCACCTTAGTGAAAAGAACTAACAGTATTATTGCGAGAGATAAAATTCAAGTTCAAAAGTGAAAATTATAGTTTTGGAAAACTTGTATCCATCACTCTTGGGCTTGATAGTTTTCCTGTACTTTAAGAGTCTTCATGAGATTGGTGGTTAGTGACAAAGTGATTTTTTTGTATTATATAATAAAATATGCCAACATTTGGAACATCTATATAATTCAGTGAAACAGTGTTTTCCAAAGGGGCAGTAAATGACATGACAAAATCATGTATACATAAAACCTTCATTCAAAGTATAAAATACACTAAGAGATTTTTTAATATAACCTAATAAGTAGGGGAAGAACAAAAAGGGAAAAGAAAAAAATGTGAGAGAATGAAAAGATGAAAATAAAGTGTTTGTAGATGGGGAGGGGAGGAGGGGGTGAAGGGAGGGCAGAGGTAAGGGGAAAAAAAATGAGAATCAAGACTTTCCATGTAAAGGTACATGATCCCAACAATGAATGTAACTGTACTGTATCCCTAAATGTACCAATAAACTCAATAAAAAAAAAATAAATAAATATAACCTAATAAGAAGTTTATTGATATAGATTCCATTTTACATTTTGTATCTGATCTCTAAGAGACTACTATATGTTGCTTTGGGTAATATTAAAGAAGAATATGCATAATATCCATAATCATATAAAAAGCTATTAAAAATACTTCCTTTTAAAACAATATACTCATGTGAAAACTCATGAAAAACCTAGTTTTTTTCATTTGCTTGAATCAAAGCACTGCAGAGCAAGAGATTAAATGGAGAACCTGTGAAGAATCTATTAAATCAGACTTTAAAGAGATTTTTAGTGTAAAGTGGTGCCACTCAACATTTCATCCTAGTATACAGTACTTTTAATAAAAATATGTGATTTATGGTACATAACAGGTTTTAAAATTTTAGATAGGTATTTCAAATTTTTCTTAGTTTTATTTCACTAATGTGAGAAACATCTATAAATATAGTCTATACAAACAAAAGTTGTGTGGGGTCATTAACTTCTAAGGGTGAAGATAAGTCTTGACAGCAAAAAGTATGAGGATAATTACTGTAGACCACTAAAATAATACTAGAGTACTACTTTACAAAGTAACACTTTACTAGCTAGCAAAGACATAGCTTTACTTTTTCCACTGAATGTCACTTTTACTTTCCTTATCATTTTCTCTAATAAAAACTCTACTTTAGTTTTGTTTCCTTGAGCACCATTACTGAAATACTGCATTTTTCACAGTAGTAGAACTCTCAACTCCTAAGACATTGGTTGAATTCCTAGTCAATCAATGCAATTCTCTCTTTACAGCAACCTAGTGTAGTGCTTAATATAAAACAGGCACTCAATACATGTTATTGACTGGTAGAAAATGTGCTTAACAATAAGGTCGATAAGTACAAAAAGTAGGAAAGCTGGAGGGTAGAAAAAGGCTCTGGTTTTTTATTGCTTTATCTATTCATAAGCATTATTCCTAGATTTTAATAGTTGTCACAAAAATCTCACATTGTTTGTGGCTCTATCAATATTTAACATAAAAACATCCTCTTCTAGTTAAATATCTCCTTCACTGACGACCATAATAATCACATACACAAATGTATCTTGAATTAATGCAAAATTTTCCTTGGGGCACTTTGAATACACAGGTCACAATGTGCTCGTAAGTTTTCTTCTTCCTTACCCTTCACAACACAACTTGCTTTTGATTATTTCCATCAAATTTCTTACACTATAAAAAGTTAAAGAATAACAGATATAATCAAACATTAATGAATGTCCAAGAAGTTACTAGTGCCTGAAAGATCATAGCTTTTTATTTGAAGTCAAATATTCCTATTTAAATTATTGAATATCTGAGATCTTAACAAAATATCATATTTAATTGGGAGTTATTTAGTTTGTTTCAAGGTTAATAATATATAAATTCTGGGCCTTGTAAAAATTCATTAAATAAATGCACAGAATCATTTGCAACTACATTTTGTTGTTAAACTCCTATGACTAAAACTAAACTTCATACTGAAGCAATGATAAAAATAGTAACATACTTGGCATTGAGAAATATTTACATATCAGATTGTCTTTTAAAATATTTCACTTTGATACTGTAAGTTTCACAGTAACTCGAGTGTATTTTCACCCACTAGGTATAAAAATGTTGGGTTTCAGAACGGTTCCTTTTGAGGACTCAGATTCTAACTGGAAAAAGATGCTGAGTAAAGAAAGAAATGGAATTTAAATGAAACTTTTGAGAGGATAATTACCTTAGAAGATAGGAATACTCATCTTAATGTTTTAAAAATTTTTGTTTTTATCTTACTTTTCTAAATGCACACTAATTTGATGAATCAGGTTTTGAACTGACAGGCTTCCTAAATATAAAACAGGTCCTTCCTTTGACATGAAAATGATTCCTCTCTGTTGTAAAATAATTTTGCTTACAACTATACAGTCCACTCCCAAAAGATAAAATATTGTCTATTTCCAGAACACATAAGGGATATTTTGAGAATTTCTTCTCTAACATCACAGGAACATATATTACTATAATTATTTCCTTTTGTGCTCATATCTGATTCATGTGTATCTTCTCAGGGGCTAAGTTGTTTTTATCAGAAAAGTATGTAAATTATAATGGATGCCCCAAACACATCTGTCTAATGAAAGAATGACTTCATTTACTACTTTAAAAAGTTAATATTTCCCTTGCAGGTCAAATACACAAATCAACTCTCAACTAGAAAATAGCCCACCCATGGGTATTTAGGTCACAAACCTGTTTCCTTACATATCATTGCCAAAACACATTTTATATTTTATTACTTTGCATCCATCTTTACTTAGCATTAGAGGTGTTTCATTAAAAAGCAGTATAGCTTCAATTTGTTTTTATGCTCACCTTTGCAAAAGTAAAAATGAATCACTGAATAAGCTCAAGTGTATTGTATGTGTTATAAAATGGTACAAACTAATCAGTCTCTTGTTGACATCATTTAATCAATTGTTCCAGAGCATCAACTAATGTTATAATCACTTGAAAATGGAATATGTAAGGGACACATTTTGCAAGAACATCAGCATAAGCACAAAACTGAAAACATGAATTAAAATTATTAGAGTACAATTAATTGCTAACAAATAGGTCTTCATTTTAGTTTTGTACAGATCATTCTTTATATGGGAAAAAATCAAGAAGGGTTCTCCAGAGTCCTACTTTGTCCTCTCGTCTCACTTTGAACACGTTACCTGTTGTGTGGACCTTATCATTCACATGTGTCACTTCAACTACCACCAATACATTGATATCCTTGTCCAGATTTGAATAGCAGGTTTCCATTTTGTCTAGGATTTTTCTGACATGTTGCATAAGCTTCTCAATAATTTAATGATTCCCCCAAATTGTCCCTTAGAAGGCCATATTTCCTCTACTATTAATCAAGTTACTATATTCTGGGAGTCTTATTTTATCATTGACGTTTTCCCTTAGTTCACCCTAAGTAGCCCATTATTCTCTTTGTCCATCTCAAGCTTTTCTCTTCCTGCTGTCCCTTGTTTTAAATTCGGTTCCTTAGCAAGGTCCTCTTGGTCACCCCACCCTTACACTGCTGCAGGTAGTCTTTCAACACCTACTGATCACAGTATGTCTTACCTCATCTAAAACTCTTCTGTGTCTCATTACTGCAGGATATGGCTAATCCATAGCACAGTATCCAAGGCTGCATCTTTCTTTGCCTGTTTTCCCATCTCTTTTCCCACATCTTCACATGTATCCTTCCATCAGGCAGGCTGGTTTACTTGCAGCTTTCTAATGTGGCTAACAATTTCCTATCTTTGTGAATGCTGCTCCTCCTGTCTACAAAGCCCTCACTCACTTCATCTCTGAATCATCTTCAAAATATGCTGAAGATCCTGGAAGCCATTCCTTACTATTGCCTGAATGAAGTGTTTTTTCACAGTATCACCATTTTCTTCCCAGCTGTTGATTGAATCGTTGAACTATAATTTCAATACTGATTTTTTTGACAATACTTTTCTCATTTGTCATCCATTAACCTATAACATTCTTAATAACTGTACTTTGTTCTTCTAATATGCTAGAACAGCTTCAACATATGCTGGTTTCTAAAGCAATGTATGTTTAATGAAAATTTTAAACATTCTCTTTATTGTCCTTTGGATATTTAAATTATGTCTTTTAAATTATGTTCATCTTCATTAAAACACTGCACATGCTATTTAAAATTTCATTACATATTTTCACATGGGATCCTATAGCTTGGAGATAGCACGGATGGAAAGAAAAGGAAAATAGAGGTACTATATTTAAATTGTACTCATGTTTCTAGGAATTAATTCTTTTGTTATCAGCTCAATAAACATATGTTTAGTATACTAATTTGTTAATTAATGAAAATTGCAGTAGAAAAGAACACTATTTGAAAGCAGGAACTATGCTGAATTCTTATTCTATTAGTCACTAGTTCTATAAGCACAGGTTCCTTATCTGTACAATGGGAGTAACAATAACTCAGATAAGATATCTACAGAGCTTAGTGCAGAATCTGGTGCAAAGGGCCATCACAAGAGTATCACCTGCCTTGGAAAATTACTTTGATGATGGTATTAGGTAAATAATTTCATACAATTGCGCAAACTATAAAATGTTATATAAGCATCAGGTATTAGGATCTAATGAATAAAATTGTCACTTACTGTTTACGTGTCTTGGAATAGATAGGTTTTTGCCATATCTTATTCCTTAGCAGTCAGCTTTCAGCATGCAGCCAGGCTCCTAGGGAAGATCTTTTGTTATTATAGGACCAGTTAAGGACTGAAAAATAAGTAAGCCTCCTTGAAATAAATACCTCCTCCTTTTTTCCCCATCTAGAGAGAATGTCAGTAAATGCACAAGGAAAGTCTTTCTGTTTTGTGTCTAACGGCAGAAGTGGTTTGAAAAAGCTATACCTGCAATTTGGCCATTGGGTTGTGCAGCTCAGAGCTAGTGACCGTTTAATTTCTTCCCGTGTTAATTTCTCTGAGCTCCATCTCCCTGCGAGCCTGGTCCTTGCACATTCTTACCTTGTTGAATGCACTGCTCTTCCTCTCTGTTGGAACTACGGACGTAAGTAACAGAAGCACAAAAAGAAATTGCTAGGTGGTTCTGGCACTGAAATATCTGCACAGATGAGGCAGGCTGCAGGTGCTGCTATGTGACGCCCACTGGAGGGGCGACAGTGACCGTGCGTTGTCTGCCCCATCCAACTCGGGCTCGGCCAAAAGCTAACAGAGCTGGCCGGACACCAGGCAGATGCTCAGATATTCGTTGTATGTTTACATTAGATAACCTGTTTTCATTCAATGGCATCCTAAGCCAGAAAATAATCAAGCTGCGTCTCAGCTGAATCAGAGCGTCATTTCGCAAACATAAACTATCTCGCTTATGCATCTGCAGAAATAAAAGTGTTTAAAAAGAAAGCCGCTCTCTTTTTTCCTCCTACGTAAGCTCAGGGGACTTTTATAATTGAGACTTCGACAGAGCGTCAAATAGCAGCAGAGGAAGGCGGGAGACTTTTCAAAGAAACGGCCCAAGTCCCACTTTTCAGCGCTCAGGCATTATGTTCTGGTCCGAGCGATGTCCCTCACCTCGGGCTAGGGCACTGCTCTCCTCTCCCCCGGCTTCCCTGGGAACTGTGCAAGAGAAGGACGCCCGGTAGTGGGGTCACAGCAGTTGGACCGCCTCAGGTGGGCGCTCCCTTAGCGCCCCAGCTCAGCAGCTCTCAGCCTTAGCAAACCGCGCGCCGGGGCACCCAGCCGCCCGGCCGGTTTTCTATTATGACCTTTCCCTACCCTTCGCACTTTCCCTACCTTTAGCGCTTTTCTTTCTCTTTTCCATGGGCTATTACCTCATTAGAATCTTATGTACTATTTTATTTTTTCACATCAGAGAAACTCTTCAGTATTTACATATGTGTGCTTATTTATTTCCCTTTTCAGTATATTGTCACTATGTATCCATTTTCCTAAGAATGTATAGAATTTCTCATTCTTTTTTGTTATTGTTGTGGGGGTACTGTGATTGGACTCGGGTACTTGCACTTGCAATGGTAACTCCGCCTATTCCGTCCCGGCGCCCCCCCTCCGCACTCCTGAGCTCCTGCCCGCCCCCTGCGCCCTGGTGGTAGGAAACACTCTCGGCTCCAACTCGACGTGTCCGGAAAGCCCTGGCCACTTTCCCTTTCGCTCTGTGGCCGCTGCCCTCCGGCTCGCCTCGCCCTCGGACCCACGGGAGCATCCGCCGTGTGTGAGGCGCCCGGGGCCCTCGGGGCTCAGCGAGGGACGAGACGAGCCTGAGCGGCAGCTGGACGAGGAGCAAGAGCGCAGGATCCGCTTGCAGCTTTACGTCTTCGTGGTGCGGTGCATCGCTTACCCCTTCAACGCCAAGCAGCCCACGGACATGGCCCGGCGGCAGCAGAAGGTGAGTGGCGGGACTGGGCGCCTCCTGCGGCCACTTCTCCCCGCGGCGTTCTCCCGGGAGAGCGTGCAGGCACCGGCCAGCAGTTCCGCCGTGAAAGGCAGGGCACTGTAATTTTGGTAGTCTTTGGTGGCATGGAAATCTTTTGGGGTCAGCATGATGCTTTGGCCTTCTAGAGCGGGGACGTCTTCTCTCCCGTCCGGCGCCAACGGGGACTGTCAGCTTCATCTTCCCTTAGACCCAGACAGAGGCACAGAGCCGGCCCTGTAATAGTAATTTCACCTGGTCAGGCTCAGCAGTGGCCAAATTAGAATGCAACTCCCATCAACTTTAATTGCTAACACCGGGGGTGCATTCCTGTCTTTCCGCCAAAACCTGGGGTGCTATTGCTTGGCTGGGCTGGTTTTATTGTGGGTCAGTGTGAAACAGCTAGAACTTGAACACTTTTCTTCTGTTAGGTAAAGAGATATCTTCACTGAGGCAAAGGAAAAGATATTTTCTTTGGTGAATAAAAAAGAAGTTAAATTGTAAGTTTCCTGTTTTGTCACACAACCAGAACATCAAATGTAAACACTGAAGAAGGAGTACAGCTTTGTGGAGTGGCTGTGGGGAAATAATTCCCGGTCTGGACAGGCCTAAGGAAGCCTAGTTATTGATGGAAAACAAAGGATACTGCAAATGCTTTGTATTTGCCTTTCTCCAAGAGATAAGGAGTTTGTGTCAGATGACATACTCCCAACTTTAGTTTTAAAACAAGACCCCAGTGTTCAGATGTTCTGTAGCAGACAAAGGTAATGACTGAAATTACCCTAATTGGAGAAACTGTCTAGAAGATCTTTTTAATAAAATGCTGAACCTTGAAGTTTCTGTAGACATCTGTAAGAGTTCTTCTGGCTTGTGCCAACAGGTGGAGACCCAGCGAGGTTGTAGTTTGCTCAAGGCATACCTAGATGCATGGTCATTTAGTACTTTTGTGAAATAGCAACTTCAGCATGTGAGGCATCTCTTTCAGAACTTTGGAGATCTTTTGTAGTGACTTTTGAAATATAATTGTCTCCCTACCCCTTCCTTACACATTCCTGCTCCCTCCCCAAACCCTCCTCCTACTCTCATTTGTCCAAACTTTATTTTGCCA